ATAAGGCAGGCCATGAATACACAATATTATGTGAAAAAGTCCAGGGTTATCAAATTGTATGACAGGTTTGAGAGAAGGTGTGCCAGGTTAAGAGCCAATCTGCGAAGGCTAATTGCTACTGTACTTTTTTTTCTCTTGCTAAAGAAAGTTTATTGGAACTTGAATGTGAATGATATCGAATAGTGGTAATTGTTCTAATTTATAAAAACAATCATTACTATGCTTGGGTACTGCTTTATTAGTAATAATCACCTCTGCATTCTTCAAATTGATCAAGACACAACTTAAACCTCATGATCATTCTGAGAGGTAGGTAATACTCTGTAACAGTGTCAGGGGTAGATGGGGAGTTTTGGTTTCTTCTTAAATGGCTATTAATAGTCCCTCACCACAGGTAAACTGTACCTTCTGATAAAATCATGTGCTTGCTAAGTAAATATACAGCTTTAACAGAGTCTCATCACTTCCCTCTAACCAGATTGCTACCTCAAGCCCAGTAGATGGGAATTCTGGAGCTGCTCTAGTTTATAAATTAGAGAAGTGAGAGGTGAAGTGACTTGCAGAAATATGGTAGGGCCAGAATTCAGGGAGCTTAACTCCAGAGCCTATGCTCCAAACTACTTTATATACTCATATATGCTTAGGGAGACCACTCTGGTAGAACAGAGAATGGATTGGAGTCAATAATAAAGAATGGATGGTGGCTAGGAGACCAGTGAATGAGACTGATAGAATCCAGGGCGAGTGGACCTAAAATGTGTATTCAGATTTTAAAAAATGGCATGCTACACCTTATGTTGCCATAGACATGTAGTTATTTAATACTGGTTAAATTAAAATGCCTATAATTGTTACTATATGTATCCAAAACAATGTAAGTCATAACCTCTGGAGTTTCGATTATTACCTTTAATTTAAATTTTAGATAATGATTAATGAAACTTTGGAAAAAGATAACATAATCCATGTCTGTTGAAGGTAAAGGCTCTAAATTTCCAAGTTGTGAGGTTATGCTCATAAACAGCTTTAAAAGTACTTGTTAATATATAACTAGATTCTAATGTTCATTATGAAATTTGAATTTTCAAGCTTGCCATCACACTAAGATTTCTGCTCCAAGTCTTTTATAAGAGCTAAAACAAACAAAACAAAAACACAACAAATATCAATTTAATTTACTCTATTGGTTTTTTTTTTTGCTAAAAATATAAACATATACTTTAACAATAGCTTTAATAATGGAATTTGAGCCTTCATTGTAAGAAGTGTTTTATGAGCGATGATAAAATACTCTAGTTGTCCGTAATAGAAAAATTACCTTATTTTGTAAAAGTTGGCAGTTTTACATCTCCACATCCATTAAATAACTTATTTAATCCTCACAGACATTTGTTATTCCCATTTTATGGTTGTTATGGATTGAAATGTGTCCCCCCAAAACGTGTCAATTTGGCTAGGCCATGATTCCCAGTATTGTGATTGTCCACCATTTTGTGATCTAATGTGATTCTCCTATGTGTTGTAAATCCTACTTCTATAATGTTAATGAGGCAGGATTAGAGGCAGTTATGTTAATGAGGTAGGACTTAATCTACAGGATTAAGTTGTATCTTGAATCATTCATTCTCTTTTGAGACATAAACGAGAAGCGAGCAGAGTCGGGGGACCTCCTACCACCAAGAGAGCAGAGCCAGGAGCAGAGCTCATCCTTTGTGCTGAGAAGCTCCTAGATGAGGGGAAGATCGATGACAAAGAGCTTCCCCCGGAGCCAACAGAGAGAGAATCTTTCTCTCTCTGACACTAGTACTTTGAATTCAGAATTCTAGCCTTTTGAACTGTTGAGAGGAAACCCTGGGCATAGTGGTTAAGAGCTATGGCTGCTAACCAAGAGGCTGGCAGTTCGAATCCACCAGGCGCTCCTTGGAAACCCTATGAGGCAATTCTACTCTGTCCTATAGGGTTGTTATGAGTTGGAATTGACTCGACGGCAACGGGTTTTTTAAACTGTGAGAGAATAAATTTATCTTTGTTAAAGCCATCCACTTGTGGTATTTTCTGTTACAGCAGCACTAGATAACTAAGACAATGGTTGAGATAACTGAAACTCAGCAATTAATAACCTTTTTGGAGCTGTGCTGAAAATGGTTCTAAATATTGAATGTTTCCTGCCATATCACTGTTTTGACATACTATCAAAATGTCTATAATTAATGATCATAACTATTAGAATCTGCAGTCTATATAATAGGTACATAGCTCAAAGTTGAATGTAATTCTGAGTTTTACAAACTGAATAGTTTTACCTTACCAAAGTCACTCAATATTTAAGAAAACCCTGCAGGAATTCCTTTTTAAACTTAAAAAAAAAAAAAAAAAATGTACTATAAGTAATTTCCCCATCTTTACAATTTATTTTTTGGTTTTCTTAAATGAAGGCAGTTCTAAAACTATTCCTATTTGTTTGCAGTTTGTTTAAGCACTTTTCAGGACACTGATAACTCACTACCAAGTGATTAGAAAAAGAAGTTTTAAAATCATTGGTGTTTCTATTCGTGGCTTGAAGGTCTTAGGCTTCTTGTGGGAAATGAGTTAAACAGTCATGGTAGAATTAATTCTGATGATCTCACTAAAGAATTTTTAAATTGTCCACTTCATATAATGGAAAGGTTTTTCAGTGTAAACGAAATACTTTCACTACTTACAGGGTAACTCAAAGTCAGAGGACAGTAGGCCAGATGAAAGAGTAAAAGCACACATAAGGCCAGACATGATCAGAACACTCAGAACACCTAAGAATCAATCAACAGAGGATGACTAAGGAGTTACAATGCCCATTAACCTAGAATATTCCTCTAGGGGATTTCAAGAAAAGCAAATGCCATAAAAAAGTATTTTAATGAGACTTGTGTTTGAGATGTTACAAAGTTTAAGAATCCTGAGATTTTAACTAAGAATTAAAAAGCAAAGTGATATTAACAGTTTGGTAAATATTAACAATTTGTCATTACTGAGAAAATATAAGAATACACATTATGGGAAAAGACTGTTGGGATGTTTCCATATTTATTGTTTCACTTTTATGGATGTAGATTTAACTCCAAGTAGTAATGGACTTCGAAGGACACAGCAAATGAAACTTTTTGTTTCACCAAACTATCTAGAACAAGCCACAAATATGAGGGAATTTTTTTTTTAGCAAAATGAGCACCAACTTCAATCATGATTTTCTACAGAAGAACACAGTCAATTACCAAAACAATTTTAACATTTCAAATATTTAACTTCGTGCATATTGAAAATGTGGTCTTATTTTTACAGCGTTTCTGTTTAAAAGAACAATTTCCAAAGAGATAGTTGTATTTTTAGCTGCTTTGTAGAATCACATTTGCTAGATATTTCTAGAAGAAAAATGACACCAAAACCCATTTGACTGATTTTCATCCTGTCCTTTAATTGAGACTCAAGTCCAAAATATTATGTCAACTCTTTTCCTTGAATGGATTATCTATCCACTTCTGGATTCCATTAAAAACATGGGGTCTTTTTTTTTTTCATTACCCTGACAAATTCCAGGCTCCCAAAGGCAGAGCTGGGGAATAATTAGACCGTGGTATGATGTGGGGTATGTTCCTCAATGCATATATTTGCCAAAAATAATTTTTGTACTGTCTGTTTTATATTATCCATTTAAAAATTATCTTTTACCCCATCATTAGTGCAAATACTTGACAATATTTAAAATTTCACCATTTGCATTTTATCTTCCCAATTCTGATATTTTAAAACCTCATCTATGTAGTTTGTAAAAATTTAAATACACTTAACCCAGTTTTAAATGGAAGTTTTATTATTTAAGCTATTTGGAAATTCTTTTGCTTAATATATAGTAAATACGAATACATGAAATATATTTAATGGCCTTCCAAACCTCAAATAACGCTTATAAGAAAAATTATTACAATAAATATTTCTCATTAGAAAAATCTGATAGTGAAACAACAGTTAAGCTCTGCAACTGAATACATAAGTAAAATTAGTAAGGATATAAAGACACTCACCCTTTTCCTTTCCCTATCGTCTCATTAAATGGCACCTTCAGAGATTTGGGAGTGTTAGTATAATTATATTTTCAAGAGAAGTTGTTTCAAAATTCCTCAGGTTAAGTTATTCCAAGTCCAATAAAATTCTTATTTTATTGTGAAATAAAAAATATGAACAAAGATCTTCACTACTCTTATATAAGCTCTCAACACTTTTGCTCCAGAAATAAAATTTATTTTCCTTTCCTTCTCACTCCTCTGAAACTTTACAGGCCCTCTGATACCTTTCCCTAGTATAGGATACAAGAATTCTTCACACTTGTATCTTTAAACTAGAAAGACTGTGCTCATCTACACTGCACAAGCAAAGGAGACCAGAGGCAAACCAAGTAGGAGGGTGGGGTGGGGGCCACCTGCCAGGTAAACAAGTAGTAATAAAATACACTGTACAGAACTTAAAAACAATGATAAAATCGACTAAAAATTGGTCTGTTTTTTATTATCACCACGCACTAGTACCAAACAGTGTCAATGACAATGGATTTCTCTTTTCGGGGTAGAAGTTTCCTACTGCTCCCCCCCACTTTGGTATACCACTGAAGGAGACTTCCCACATCTCCTCCTAGTCTCCTGCCTTATTTCTTATGTCTTCACCTCAATGAAAGTAGCTGATAAAAGGCACTATCTTTAGACTGTGTCAGTGGCTTTGGTACTTACTATTTTCTTCATACCCAAATCAGTGTTTTGTGTGGCTTTATATTCAGTTGCCAGGAAAGCAGGGAAAAATACAGTACTACTAAAATACAGAGCATAAAAGGAAGCAAAACATTTAAATAAAGCATTCCCCTACCCCTCCCTTGCCATCAAGTCGATTTCGACTCATAGTGACCCTATAAGACAGAGTCGAACTGCCCCATAGGGTTTCCAAGGCCGTGATCTTTACAGAAGCAGACTGCCACATCTTTCTCCTGCAGAGTGACTGGTGGGTTTGAACCACTGACCTTTTGGTTAGCAGCCGAGCACTTAACCACTGTGCCACCAAGGCTCCTTAAATAAAGCATCAGGCTGAGCGTTTTTCATGGATATTAATTAAAACTTATTTATAGGTGAAGGGAAAGTTCTGGAATTCAAGTCTGTGTCAAGTTCCATTTGGGGAAATGGAAAGACGGGCACAACTTGAGTTAAATGAAGGGATAAGAAAAAAGTGAAGATTACATTTAAGATTTAGTTAAAATTGTAATAAATGAACATAAGTTGAATGAAGTTAATTTTAAAAGGGAAAGATTCATTGTATTCCAGCTGGTTATCTTTCTTATTCGTACTGAAATACTAAGCTGAAGACACTTTTAGAAGCAGACATTAGACTTCAAGATGACTTTCTATTTAGATTGAACAAATAAGTAAGGAGTACACTACATTGTTTACAAAGCACTGTCTCATAAAATACTGTACCTCATTTGAGCTCTCAACAATCCTGTGAGGCAGACATTATAACACAGTGGGAGGCAGTACATGTGGGGTAAAATACTGGCACCATCACATATTGTGTGACCTTGGGTTACTTAACTTGGTACCTCAGTTTCTCCATGTGAAAAATGGGGATGACAACTGTACGTATCTCATAGCTGTCATGGGATTAAATGAGATAATGCACACAAACACCTTAAGATAGTGCTTGGTCCACTGTAAGTGTTCAATACATGCTAGCTATTATCACTGACATTATTTTACAGGTAAAGAAACAGACTAGGAGAGATTAAGAAATTCAGAGTCATATGATTGCTGAGTGGTAAAGCTAGAAGTTGAACTCTAGTTTGGATATACTCCTACTACCCTGTATTACCTATGAATATATCTACTTTTAGTTACAGTGAGTATGTATTATCTTTTTGCATTATTTTTAAAATCTATTTTTTGCAGCTGAAATGTCATTTGAGTTTGACAGATTCAATGGCACCATTAACATCATCTCCTATTTAGAAGCCAACTTCTTTTAGTGGGAATTGAAGAAGATAATGATAGGCATTAAAAAAAGGAAACGGTCTCTATGCAGAATAAGGGTGGAGATACGATCTAGGGCTAGAAAAAGCATTAACTTTGATATTTCTTTAAACCTCCAGAAAATGAAACTATAGTCTATTAGTTAGTAGATGGCAGAAAGAATGTACACTCTGTCAGGCAGGGTTATTTGTTTACTGCTGTTATCTCCAGACCATAGAACAGTGATTGGCAGGCTCACAAACAGACTTGTTTAATGAATGCAGTATTAAAAAAAAAAAAAACACAACTTTAAAACATGGCCGTAACAGTAGAATTCACTTTGCTTTGACATGCTTTCCTTTCTAGTATTAATTATATGATAACTAAAAAGTCTAGCATACAGTTACCTACCCATAAAATAGGAGGATTCTTATAAAAAGATTCAGAGTAAGAAATAAAAGACTAAATAAGGCCTTGAATAGCTTTATTGAAATCTGTATAAATAAACATGCACATTTCAAATGTAAACTCAAGTGAACCCAAGTGCAGACAAAATTTTAAATTTTAACCTCTGTCATGCAGGAGGTTAGTTTACATTAAAAAAAAAAATTAGGATAAAGAGGAAAAGAAAAAAGAAAAAAACCGAAAGCAGCTTTTAAAATACCAGGATGAAAAACCAGTTTTAATACCAAGGTATAAAGCAAAGCCATGATCAACATACCTCATTTATCCTGGTCAAATGCATTTTTTTTTCTTTTTCTTTTTAATGCTAACATAAATAAATAATTTACCAAAATGTGCACTCACAGAGTGAACTTTTATTTACAATACACAATTTATAATCTATTGTATTTGATTAGTTCAAGTGAAGAACATTATACTTTTTGCTTTAATAACAGTGGGACACAAAGCAATTTCTCAGGTAGTCGATATGTGAAATGTGCCCCAGCATTTAGATTTTCTATTAAAGGCAGTATTGTATGCCAATCGACAATACATTCTTTCAACTAGATCAAAGGGAAAAAGCAGCAAAATGAAAAATGTTTCAAATGTTCACACATATTTTTGGCATCCTGGATCCTTGAATGTGGTGAACTAAAATCAAATTCAAGGTTTATATGCTTTATATACTGTACAGGTTCTGACTCTGGAACATGCAAATGCCAATTCTCTTACAACAAATTACCTTCTGAGAAAAGCAGTAAGGCTATGGTGAATTCCATCAGGAACACACAAAGAAAGTTAACAGACCTACCTTTAAAGCCAATTGCCCATTCATCATTTAAAGGCCAAAAAATCTCTCATCTAAGCTTGATGCAATTATTACTATGGATACAGAATATTATTGTGTCTGTCCTTATATTACATAATTGGGAGAGCTAAAAATTGCCAAATTATCAAAAAATGGGGTAGAGAAAAACAGACAGCAAAAAATTTTAATTTTGGACCAACACCAAATTAAAGGTATGCATTTTTAAAAGCAAGTCAAAAAGAATTTGAATCTTTAATGAATAAATTCGAATAGCAGTAAAAACAAAACAAAACAAAAAGAACTTATATTTAACTGAAAAATGACTTTAGATGGAGTGTGAAATCTAGAACCTGTTTCCACAGTAGCAGTAAGATGAACATAGTATTCTGGATTTTTAATGATACTACAAAAGGAAATAACTTTTTCAAGATTGTTTCCTATGATTTGGTTTTTTAATAGGCCCACATTGATTACCAGGGATAGACTTAAAAATTTGGTTTTCCAAGAATACTACTGCAGTATTTATGCCACACTGATCCTGTAGCTAAAATATCATAGTAGTATACATGGCAGCTTAATGTACATAAATTAGGTGATTAAAAAACTAAGTTCAGCCGTAGTTTTCTTGCCGTATTATTAGAATAAAATAAATGACCAACATCCACAAATTTAACATCTGTCATCAATTAACTCACATCCAAAAAATTAAAGAAAACATAATTCATCAAAACAGCAGCAAACTTAAAAGGGGTTTATTTGTGATTTCCTATATATATTTAGCTTGTAAATACAAGACTGTAAATGTATTAAGAGACAATTTCTGTTAAAGTTTTCATTGTGTTTCACTTCAAGTACTGCACAAGTTAAAATCTGATAAAGGATTTACATTCGGTTATCTGAAACTCCCCATCTCAGACTTCTTGTTTTAATGTGGTGGGTAACTTCATCATTTCAATAGATACCACCAGCAGAAAAGTCTCTTTTATGGCTTCTATGACTTCATTAGTTAGTGTGCATACAATTTTCATTTTCTATATCATTGTCATTATCATTGCTATCTTCATCACTTTCTAATGGGATGCCTGTGGCAGCTGAAGCACCTTTAGTTTCTCGGTCAAGAGGAAAAAAGCCAGTTCCACTGAAAGTATCTTGTCTCTGATAGAAGAGTACATATGCTGCTTTGGACTGTCAAAACAAACAAAGGATGTTAAAATGGTAATGACTCTCCAAGATCACATTAAATATAGCATGAATTTTTAGCTGGTAACCAATTTTGGTGATAAGCCAAAAATCAAACAGAAAAACCACACATGGTCAAATGATAGTTACTAAAATTCTCAACCTCTATTTCTATACATAAAGGAATAATAGGCCCTGGAGTTAAAAACTGTTTTACTCCCTTCTAAGTTATTTGGACCAATTAATAAATACAATTATTTCACAGATGATCCTAGTTACTCTAATATGAAACAGAATTCTATGCTGCCTTCTGTCTTGTCTCCAAGGAAAAAGTGAGCCTCTTTTTAATACTACTTGCTTCATTCCACGTTTGCTCTGTGCTCCAACTCCTCCTACTCTTTTAAATATATTGCTACATTGATCATTACTTATATATCTTCAACAAGTCCTTTAAGTATTTTGCCATCATAAATCCCTCTCCATTCCACTCCCTTCTAACCACCATCCTCTCTACCTCACAACCAAGCCTAAAGAACAGTCGTCTAGTCATCACTTACTCTCATGTACACCCCTCAATTCAATGTAATCTAACTTTTGTTCCAACTATTCTAACGAAATGGCTTTTACTAGGGTCAATCATCTCCTAATAAGCAAATTAAATGGATGCATTTTTAGTTCGTTAGTCACTCTCTATAGTACTTCACCACTCCTTTCCTTCACCGAACTGTTTTTGGCTTCTGTGACACCACTTTTCCTTAGATCATCTTCTATTTGTTTCTTCTTAAAATCTTTTGTGAGCCCATTAAGTTCTCAATTTAAAAAATCATATTCTGTCCTTAGCCCACCACTCTTCTCAATCTGTACTGTCTCACTGGGTGGCTCATTCAAACCTATGGCTTCAAATGTTACCTACCGCTAACAACTCAAATGCATAACTTAAGCAAGTTGTCTCCTCTGAACTCCAGTCATATTAGTCCAACCATCTAATAGAAATTTCCACAAAGCCGTCATACAGGCACCTTAAACATCAAATTTTCTTTCTGTATTCCCTATCTTGGTGAATAGTAAAGAAAGAGTCATCTTAACTCCTCCCTCTTGGCATCTCTATATTTGTATCTATATTTTATTTATATCTAATCTTAAACAAATTCTATTAATTCTATCTAGAAAATATCTCATAAATCCATTTTACCCTTGTCTATACTCTTACTACATTTAATTTAGAAGCCCTTGTTGCTTAAATTACTGTGATATTCTCCCGAATGATCTTTCTGCGTCTTTTCTCAAAGTCTTCCAATCTATCTTCTCTACAGTATTCACAGAGAGCTGTTAAGATGTAAATTTAATAACACTATTCTATTGCTTAACAATCATCCAATGGTTTCTCACAGACTTTAAGAAAACATTGAAACAATCAATGCATGGCAGCCTTCTTGGTCAGAGTGCTAAATTTATTTCCAGGCTAATTTTTGCCCCATATCCCTACAGAAGCCTTTCTTTTCAGTCAAACCAAATTACTTGCTGTTCCTCTAACATTCCATGCTTGTCATACCTCTATGCTTTTATACATACTGTTGTCTTTGCTTAGAACAACTTTACTTCTTTTGTCTAATTTACTCCTAATTTGTACTTGCAAACTCAAACACCACTTTCACTAAGGGTACATCCCTGACCTGTCCTTCCCCTCAAACCCCAAATCTGTGTTGAGATAGCTGTCTCCTTTCTATGTGCCCACAGCAAGATATTTAATAGCAGTTATCATATTATAATGATTAATTTACTTGTCTGTCCTCTCTAGATTGTAAGCCTCTTGAAAGTGAAGATAGCTGTCTCTCAATCCTGTTTAGAACAGTGTCCTATATACAGAAAATACTCAAATACTTGCTGACTAAATGAAAAAATTATCATTGTTAAGGTGCATGGTAACATCAAATTCATTTATTACATAAAACAAGATACATAGTTTATTTGCAGGCAGGATTAGGGCAGTGCTGTCAAAGAGTCTTTGAAGGAAGATGTGGCCTATTTTAGGATGTTTGGGTAGAAAGATTAAAGAGAACAGAATTGAAAAGCGGGGAATATGACTTGAAATTAGGAGACAAAATATAAACTGGAAATGTAGCTAACTTAGGCATATACACGTTTGAGAAAATATTAGTGTTCAAGTCTCTCTTTGTTATAGCTGTGGGGAGACAAGCAACAGTATAATTAATATATGTATATTATATCCATAAAGAAACAGGCAATTAAAAATTATTTCAGGTCTGTTCATACAATGACAGATCAAAACTTGGCTCAGAAGTTTATTAATTTGTTAAATAAATCGAACAATTTAAGTTAAAGATTTTAAAGCAGTATAATATAAAAAGCTAGTCTCTGCCCTCAAGGCATATATTACTTCAAACTGGGAAACAAGTAAAGCAGTCAATGCTCCCCAAATCAACTGAAACCTTCTGTACAGCAAGGATCATGAGATGAGCAAATACTCTATTTCCTTCTCTTTTGTAATATTGTGATCAATAAGCAAAATATATAGAAAGGCAAATGTATAGAAAAATCAAATCTCATCAAGCAATTCTTAGCTTTCTTCCTAGAACATACCAAGTCATCCTCCATCAATCAATATCTGAAATAAAAACTGCTTTGATGTGAAGCACAATACATGCCAAAGTTCCAGCTCCAGCTGCAGCACCCAGACTGATGCAGTATAATCATTTTTCTATGATTCAAAAAATATCAAAGTAGCAAGTACACACTCAAAACACCAAACCCACTGCCTCTGAGTCAATTCCAACACACACAGCGACCCTATAGACACAGAAGAACTGCCCCATAGGGCTTCCAAGGCTGTAATCTTTACAGAAGCAAGCTGCCACATCTTTCTCCCACGGAGCCACTGCTGAGTTCGAACTGCTGACCTTTTGGTTAGCAGTCGAGCACTTAACCACTGCACCACCAGGGCTCCTTAAAAGTACACAAGGGCTAATTTTTTTTAAATCTGTAATTTGTTTAATCTAATTATATCATTTGAGTTTAAATGCTTAACTGTCACAAAGCTGGATAAGACTTTACTATGGAAATCATAGGTATGAAAAAAACTTAAAGGATTTTTTTTCTGTTTTAGCATTTAAGTAGTTGACCTCTAGAAAGTTAAGACCTAGGCCTACTTTTCAGAGGAAAATTTTATTATTTTCTTAAGAAAATCACTTCATGTTGAAAACTAACAAAAAATTTTCTCATTGCAATTTATTCTTCTGTTAGTGGACAAATTCAAAAGACAAATTTCCACTTTGGGAACAATTTTACATTAAATTGGAGCAAATTTCTCTTGGCTATTAGAATTGCTAAAATATAGACTATAGTGTTCCATGGGCCCTTTTATTAATCTATATTCACTCGTTGAAAAAGTAGATCCTATGATTTTCAGGAAATATAAGACACACTTACCACAATTTGGTCTTCAGATGCGGTTGAGACACTACTGTCATCAAAATAGTACCATTTTCCATCATCTTTATTTTTTGCGAAAGCAGTATCTAGTGAAAAAATATAATCACTTCTATGACTAAAATGATCTATGGTTTCCTGGGGGAAACATTCAGAACTCTATAATCATCAACATAAGGAATATCAAACATTATATGATAATCACCTACATGACACATTCAACTAATTCAACCTATTAAAATTTCTGGAATAATTTCCTACAATCTAGATACCTAAAATGCTTTTCATATAATTTCAAACTCAAAATCGTTTTTCATCTCAGGGACAAACAGAACAGATTTAATTCATAGAATAACAATACTGACAATCAATGGCAATTAACATTTATGTAAACACAGTGCTATGCACTTTACGTGTATTATTTCGTAAGGAGGAGCACTGGTGGTGCAGTGGTTAAGAGATAGGCTGCTCACCAAAAGGTCAGTAGTTAGAATCTACCAGCTGCTCCTTGGAAATCCTATGGGGCAGTTCTTCTCTGTCCTATAGGGTTGCTATGAGTTGGAATTGACTCAACAGCAATGGGTTTGTTTGTTTCTTTCTTTAATTTCATAAAGAAGGTATTATCATTATTATTCTTCCATTTTAGAGTTGGGGAAACTGAGGTATCAAGAGACTAATTTGCCCAAGGTAGTATAGCTGTTAGGTAGCAGAGCTAGGCATTAAACCCCGGTCTATTTCTAACTCCAAAGTTTGAAATTTCAACCATTATTGAATTTTCTATGACAATTTTTTTCCCTGACAATTCTATCGCATTATTTGCAGTGTTTTCTGTACCAGAATCTTTTTCAATCTGTAACAAAAGTATACAGCAAGAGAAAGTTAAAACGCGATTAATTAACCTGCACAATTTTTTTATATTTGCTTTAAGTTAAAAACAAACAGAACAACGTGCCTTTCCCATCTCATGCTGTACATGAAGTACACAACCACTGAGGAAACAAACTTGCAAAATGTTCCCCAGACAATTATTTGTTATCATAGCTTCTAAAAAGTGCCGCCTTATATGCTGTATCTTCTAAAGAAGTCTAGCTCTCACAAAGGAAAAATTCTTCTTCTTCTTTTTCAGATATATATAAGAAACTGAGCTGGTTATCCTTTATATGGTTGAAACCAAGGAGGAACATACTCTTTCTATTATGTTACCTGACTGGGTGATGCGCACAGGGGAAAAAAATTACTGTGAAAGTAAAGTATGCATAGATTTAACAGTTAGCCCTTCTATCTTTGGTGATGCTCTTCTGGGTGCCAGAAGATAGTTTAAAAAACAGACAAACTAACCAGCCAACCAAAACAATGGTTTAAACTCCAATTCATTTATTTAACAATATTCAGTGAACATCCACTACGTAGAAGAAATTATTATATCCAACCTGCTATTGGTTCCCTCTCCCCAAAACTCAACTACGAAGAAAAACTGAGAAAAGCTATGATCAAAGAACTAATAAAAAAAATCACGAGAACCCCCTAGAAAAGACTATAAGGCACATCAGTGTGAACTGACATGGGTATGTGTGTGTGCAAACAATGTGCCTGCAGAATGTAACAGGGTGCTAAGTTTCACGCATGGGACAAGCATTGCCTGGTTCTTTTTCACAGAAATCAGCAATGCTCGGGCTACCTGAAACAGAAATGTAGGGTTTTTAAAAGTTCTGCTAGGCAAACACAGTATTTGACAACTGGGATGGCTATACCCATGCGCTCTGGCTATAAATCAGCCTTAGTGAGGAGTTAAAGAAAATAACAGGGACTGAAGAGCTTCTCTTGAACATGTACTCCTCTACTTCCTACTCTCTTTCCAACTCCCTAGGACTGGTGGATTACAGTCTCCTCCCAATGCAGCTTATTCTAAGTTTAAAGTAGAATTTCTGATCAGAGAAAGCTGCTTGGTCGAGTGGTCACAAAGTGGAGGGTTAACAGTGATTCTGTGGTGCTTGGGGATCTTTGCTTTGCGGTTCATCCCCTCCCCTCTCAAACTCATTGGGAAGGACACAGGCCCAGCCTGTGCTTGCCTAAAATACCTTACCAGCAGAACTGTTAGTATCTGTCAGGGAACACGACCTCTCAGGCTAAAATAACCAGACACCGAAAAGGACAATAAAATCGAATAACCTAAATCAACTGAAGTAGAGTTATTACATCAGATGTACCAAGTTCTTAAAATAAGTTTAATAAATACTAAAGATACAGCAAAAGATGTAAGCAACATGAAAAAGTAAAAAAAAAAAAACCAAAAAACAAAAAAAAGAACCGAAAAAACATATTAATAAGAGTTATGAAAAATACAATAGTTGAAATATATAACAAATCACAATGGGGAGAAATAGCAGAATAGTTAAAGTTGAAGAATGAACGACTGAATTGGAAGATCAGAATGAGGAATTATCCCAGAAGGCAACATGAAAGGATAAAGTGAAAGAAAATATAAAAGAGCTAAGTAATATGGAGTACAGAATTGTAAGTAACAATTTACGAGGAGGTTTAGAAAGAAAAAAAGGAGTATTTGCTGGAATAATGGAGATAAATTTCTCGGAAGATGAAAGATAACAGAATAAAACAGCTCACAGAAGTTCTAAAAGGAACATATATATTAAAAAATACCCGACAACTAGATACAATACAGTAAAATTTAAGAATCTCAAAGACAAAAAAGATTTAAAAAGCTTCCAGAAACAAAGAACTAAGAAACGAGAACCAGTAACAACGGATGAAAAGAAGACAAGTTATAGATTTAAAATGTTAAAGTAAAAGAATATTGAACCCAAAATTTTATATCTGGCCAAAATAACACTTAAATGTGAAGGCTGAGAACGAGCCCTGGTGGTGCAGTGGTTAAGCACTCGGCTGCTAACCGAAAGGTCGGTGGTTCAAACCCACCAGCATCTCCACAGGAGAAAGACATGGTTATCTGCTTCCATAAAGATTACAGGCTTGGAAATCCTATGAGGTAGTTCTACTCTGTTCTATAGGGTTCCTGTGAGTTGGAATCGAATCGATTCGACAGCAGCGGGTGAAGGCTTAAGAAGAATAATCTTTAGTCTAAAAGTTCGTTACACAAAGATTCATTTTGAAAAAAAGCAGTCTTTGAAGAAGCTCTCAAATGAGAATAGAAAAAAATATGTAGGAGGATTCTATAAGAGATATGAGAAGTAGGGATCATCAAGTTTATTATTTTCTAAAAATGGATAAGACAGAGAAGGACAGAGGAGAGAGAGAAACTAAACTAAAATTTAGATACTCAGCATGGGGGTGGGGTGGGGTGGGGACGGAGTAGTACTAGTGGTAAGACCAAAGGGACATAAGAGTACTAAAGGAACATAACAGTATTAAAGTATTTGTCTTGTTCATGTGAAAATATAGACGCTTTAAGAAATCAGTGGGGGTAAATAAATGAGCATGTATCTTAATGGCACCTGCCATAAAAACAAAAATAGACTGCATAACTTTTAAACAGCAGAAAAACAGCAACAACAACTGATATATCCAAAGAAAAACAGGAAAGAAGAAAAAATAAATTCCAGTAAATAGAAAATACACACTATGCCAAAAAATCAGTCCTAATACAGTAATTACAATAAATGTAAATGGGTTAAACTCACTGAAAGTATACAGTTAACAAGGGGTTCTGCCTCTTTTCCTCAAAGCCTTAGACTTGACTCTTGGTCCAAAGTCCCTTGCATCATCAAACTCAAGGAAGTGTTAGGTATTTATCTGTACTGGATCCAAGATAAGTGAGAATCTGTCCAAGGATTACAAACCATTTATTGACTAATGATTAACTGGTAACGATAAGATGCAGCTGCACTGAAAAATGGAAGCTAAGTTTGTTAAGCTGAAAGGACTCTAGAGCTGATGGCATCCCTGAGCTGAGACTGTCAGAATATACTCAGCCTTGTTCTCATCACCAGTATATCCTTAGTGCAGAATGATTGAGACATCAGAAGCTGTAGCTGGGGGGGTTATAAGACCTCTGCTGAGCTACCGCTCTGTATGCTATGTTGTTTCTTGTTCTGTATCCTTTCTTAAAGCTAAGTAAACTTGGTGCTGGGTGTTGTGAGTTTGTCAGTCTCAACTCAAGACTACTGCAGAGTGGACACTGCACTGACAAATTAAAAAAAAAAAACTTCTCAGACTGAATAAAAAGACAAGATCTAACAATGTGGTTTCTGAGAGACAGACCCAAAAAAAAAGGTATAAAGAGCTCGCAAATTAAATGATGGAATCATAAGAAAGCTAAGGTAACACTTGTAATATCTGAGAAAAAAACAAAAAGGACAAGGAAGAATGTCAAGTCCTGGTAAAAGGAACAACAGAGAAAGAAAAGCTACTTATCACGAACATAAATGCGTCTAATGCAAAACAAGAGTGCTGAAAGAAACAAAGACGGTTCAACAGGAAAATCTGTCTATTGGAGACTAGAGACTGGGGCAGCCATTTTTTGGAGCAATCTGGCAGTACTTAAACACTCTAAAATCCAGATAATTTCCCAAAGAAATCTTCACGTGTTGTCATTAGGTGCAACAGATTGGCTCCTACTCATAGTAACCCTATGTGTAACAGAATGAAACACTGCCCGATCCTGCGCCATCCTCACAGTCGTTGCTATGTTTGAGCCATTGTTGCAGCCATGTGTCAGTCCATCTTGTTGAGGGTCTTCCTCTTTTCGCTAACCATCTACTTTACCTAGCATGATGTCCTTCTACAAGGACTGATCACTCTGATAACATGTCGAAAGTACTTGAGATGGAGTCTTCGCCATCCTAGCTTCAAGGAGTATTCTGCTATATTTCTTCCAAGACGGATTTGTTCGTTCTTCTAGCAGTCCATGGTATAATTAATATTTTTTGCCAACATCATAACTGAAATACATCAATTCTTTTTTGGTTTTCCTTATTCACTGTCCAGCTTTTGCATGCATATGAGGCAACTGAAAATACCATGGCTTGGGTTAGGCAACATTCAAGTTCTCAAGGTGACATCTTTGCTTTTTAACACTTCGAAGAGGTCTTTTGCAGCAGATGGGTGGTGCAATGGTTAAGAGCTTGGCTGCTAACCAAAAGGTCAGCAGTTTGAATCCACCAGCTGCTCCTTGGAAATCCTATGGGGCAAGCTGTACTCTATCCTATAGGGTTGCTATGAGTTGGAATCAACTCGATGGCAATGGATTTTCTGCAGCAGATTTGCCCAATGCAATACATCGTCTGATTTCTTGACTGCTGCTTCTATGGGCGCTGATTATAGATCCAAGTAAAATGAAATCCTTGACGACTTCAATATTTTCTCTGTTTATCATGATGTTCTTATTAGTCCAGTTGTGAGAATTTCTGTTTTCTTTATGTTGAGGTGTAATCCATATGAAGTCTGTAGTCTTTGATGTTCATCAGTAAGTGCTTCAAATCCTCTTCACTTCAGCAAGTAATGTTGTGTCATCTGCATATCGCAGGTTGTTAGTACGTCTTCCTCCAATCCTGATGCTGCGTTCTTCTTCAGTTTCTTGGATTATTTGCTCAGCATACAGACTGAGTACCTTCCAACCTGAGGGGTCATCTTCCAGCACCATATCAGACAACGTTCTGCTGCCATCCATAAGGTTTTCACTGGCTAATTTTTTTTTTCTTCAGAAGTAGATTGCCAGGTCCTTCTACCTAGTTTGCCTGAATCTGGAAGCTCAGCTGAAACCTGTCCACTGTGGGTGACCCTCCTGGTATTTGAAATACCAGTGACATAGCTTTCAGTATCACAGCAACATGCAAGCCACTGCCATACGACAAACTGACAGAAAAGAGGTGGAAATTCTCACACAGGGAACATAAAAAATAATGTTTATCTTGTGGTGGTGGAAAGTTAAAAGCAATTTGGATGTTCACCACGAGGAAAGTGGAGAGGTAAAATATGGTGGATATAAATTATGAGTGGTTAGAAGCAATGGACTAACTGTACACAAAGCAACACAGGGAAGACTTCAAAAAAGACAAGAAAGAAAAGCAAGAAACACATTGAGATCCACAGCACAGTGTTTAACTCTGAAAGTTAAAAAAATATGCATGATTTATAAAAGCACACACATCAAACACGTTCAAAAGATAAGGAAAAGGAGAATGGGGAAGGACAGGACTCCTGAACGGATGAATGATGTCCCTGTGTCTTAAACTAAGGAGTATGATTAAACTCTATCCTGTATACTCGATGTGAAAAAAAAAAAAAGGTTCAAAAGCAGATTCATTCATTAATCATTAAGCACTCAGCTGCTAACCGAAAGATCAGTGGTTTGACCCCAACAGCAGCATCTGAGTGATCTGCTCCCATAAAGATTACATTAAAGGAGCCCTGGTGGCACAACGGGTAAGAGCTTGGCTGCTAACCAAAAGGCTGGTAGTTCAAAACCTACCAGTTGTCCCAGAGGAGAAAAGACCTTGCAGTCTGCTCCGGTAAAGATTACGGCCTAGGACAAGCTACGGGGCGGTTCTACTCTGTGCTATAGGGTCCCTATGAGTGACACTCAGCTTGACAGCACAAACTACCACAACACTGAACAACTACTATGCGTAAGACACATCTCACATTTTACCTTTAGAAGTAATATCTATAAAAAGTCTGGAGTTAACAAACATCAGGATTTAAGTCAAAAGGTAAAATGCCAACTTACAGTGTCCTCCTCCCATCCCTCCATAGTGGTTGGAAACAGCAATCAAATTATAGCGGCAAGGACCTGCATTTGGATTAATTAGGAATTCCGACATATCCAAGTCACTATTTAAAAAAGAAATCAAGTTAGTTTCATGTTTTCCCCAATATGCAATGAATTCTATTCTGACTCTTATTTGTATATAGTTCACTAAAGAAATTATCAACAGCCAAATAACTCATAAAACAATTATACATGTACCCTTGAGATTTGAGAGTTTTGGCAAAAATTTGTTGAGTCAAGAGTTTAAAAATGAGTCACTGATCATTGTTATTCAGATAAATGTTTTTATGCTAATACATTTAACTCTCAGTGTATCAGGAAAAATAGTACAGTTAAGAATAAATGATGAGTAATGATAAAATAATTCCTAGGAAAAACAAAATCACTAAGATCCTATAAAATATTTATTATAAAGTGTTCATAAGGATACTTACAGTATCTTTAAGTATCCTATAAAGATTTATAAATGGGACCACTGAACCCATAAGGCAATGTAAAATAGAATAAACTTTATTCTATTTTTTAAAAAATATACCTGCTCTTTGTTCTTTGGAAAATCTCTTAGAAAGAATAAAAATCATGGAACACCAATCCTTACAGGTACTTTGAATTATTAAAAAATAAACTAGACTAAAATTGGGTCCAATGGTATCTGATGTTTACTGAGGAATAATAATACAAAGCATCAAATAATTTTGAAAACCATCTAAGATACTCCATTGGTCTCATCCTATCTGGAGCAAGGAAGAAATGAAGAAAACCAAAGACACAAGGGAAAGATCAGTCCAAAGGACTAATGGACTACAACTACCATAGCCTCCACTGGACTGAGTCCAGCACAACTAGATGGTGCCTGGCTACCACCACCGACTGCTCTGACAGGGACTACAGTAGAGAGTCCCACACAGAGTTGGAGAAAAATGCAGAACAAACTTCTAACTCACCAAAAAAAGACCAGAATTACTGGTCTGACAGAGACTGGAGAAACCCCGAGAGTATGGTCCCTGGACTCCCTTTTGGCTCAGTAATGAACTCACTCCTGAGGTTCACCCTTCAGCCAAAGAACAGACAGGCCCATAAAACAAAACGAGACTAAATGGACACATCAGCCCAGGGTCAAGGACGAGAAGGCAGGAGGGGACAGAAAAGCTGGTAACGGGGAACTCAAGGTCGACAAAGGGTGAGTGTTGACATGTCATGGTGCTGGCAACCAATGTCACAAAACAATGTATATTAATTCTTTAATGAGAAACTAGTTTTCTCTGTAAACATTTATCTAAAGTACAATTAAAAAAAAAAGTTTGTAAGAAGTTAGAACTGCCCATATTATGAAGTATAATTAAAACTTACTTGATAGGAAAATCAACTAAGGTATCCAACTTGTCTCTCATGTATCGACTGTAAGAAAATCGCTTGAGGTGTACCACAAGTACTGGAGGCAGGGACCATAAATCCAATTTTTTTGTGGCCTGTTGATGTTCTTTACAATTTGGACAATACCTAAAAATATAATGAAATATTTAAAGCTTGACAGAGATGCAAATAAACAAACAGGCCTCATTAATGAAAGCAAAAGAACAAATATTTGGAAAGTTCTATATTCATTCAGTGACCAATTACTGTATGCCTAATACCAGGCTGAAAGGAATGTCTCTTATTATTTTTATTTTCAATATAGGTTTAACCATTATAAATTAATATGCAAATAAGTATTCAAAGAAATGATGAAGATTTGATACCTTATTTACAATAGCGTAGGCTAAAAAGACATGATGTATCACAAAACTGTGCTGATATAGGTACTTGAAAACATCAAAAATTCTGGGCTCCAATGGAATTAATAACACCATAAAACACACCGATCGCTGTGATTTCCACAAAAAAGCTTCTCTAAAATAGATTGCATAGCTTAAAAATTCTTGGGAAAATGTAACTGAAATTAATTATTAATAGTAAAACAGGTAATATAAAAAATAATGTAATGGTATTAAAGCTTAACATTATATTAATACTTCAAAAGACATTCTCATCCCTCTTAACAGACTATTACCAATACTAACTGCTATCAAGTTGATTCCTACTCATGGTGAACACATGTGTGTCAGAGTAGAACTGTGCCCCATAGGGTTATCAATGGCTGATTTTCCAGAAGTAGACTGCCAGGCCTTTCTTCTGAGGTACCTGAGTGAACTTGAACCTTTTGGTTAGCAGCCAAGCATGTTAACCATTTGCACCACCCAGTGATTTCAACAGACTATATAAGACTATTATATCACCTAAAGAAATGTTTATCATATAAAGCATCAAAGGGAATATAGTAATCACTTCTTCAACTTGATTAGAAATTGTTATTTAATTTTGTCTCTTACCAAGGATCTTCAGCACCTAGTTTTTCTTTTGTTGTAAAAAGTTCAATGCAATCTTTTAATTTCACAAAGGGTTTTTTAGGAGGTTTATATTCCACACTTTCGTGTTTTTCAAAATCCTAAAGAGAAGTATTTCTTGAGTTAAGAGAACAAATGAAATAAAACTCATTTTAGTGATACCATCTTACTATGAATAATAATGAAAACTCCTAAACTTTCCCAAAAGAATCATAACATTTATTTCAAATGAGATTTACACGATTCTTCTAAATATCTCATGTATACACCTATACGAATGACTAAAAACTGTAAACAGAAAGCATATTCAAAACCAACTCTGTACCTTTAAAAAAAAGGTATTTTTGCAAAGCCATTTCTCTTCTAGTTCATGACCAGTTCTCTATTGGCAAAACCAACAACTTTGGTAGGAGTAAAAGTATAACAAAACAGTGTGATTAACTTGGGAAATGTACAGAAGAGGTGAGTGATAACTTACCTCAGCAGCATTTTCATCAAAATATCTTTTTTTCAAATCAGGATCCCAATCCAAAGCAAGAAAAGATCTTTCTAAGGTAGAAAACGTATTTTTTCTTTAAACTTTAATTTGCCACATTAAAATTAACGTATTTTAATGTTAAGATATATACCAGAATAAACAAATAGCAATCTTTTCTACTATACTAAGTGATTAAACAAAAAGCTATTTCTAAGCCACTGAAATAATTCAGGAGCTTAAAAAAAAAAAAAGCTATAAAACTTAAATATGAATTCAATTTTCATTTAATAAACATTGAAACAGGTTTTAGTCTATTTAGAAAGTAAGATTTTTTCATTTACAATTTTAGACAGAAAAACAGCATTTTTCAAGAAAGGATAGAATTTCATAGTTAAAAATAACATGCTTTGCTCAAATTTAGTGTTCAAGACATTTTTCACAAATACTTACCATCTAGCCTAAGCTGTCTATCATCAAATCTTATATGCCTGGTATCATCTTTGATGTAGTTGATATCAGTATTGCCTAAGTTGTTGAACTGGAATGTAAACAATCGTTTTTTGTGCCCCGTGAGTTGACCTTTGCAAGTTTCCTCGGTACATAATCCATTTTCAGAATCATTATCTCCTCCAACTGAATCTTCAGACTGACTGTTTTCATTCTCTGAGGGAAGTTCTTGATCCTGGCTGGATTCATCATCTGGCTCATCTGTTTCCATTTCACCTAATTTTAGATATTAGAGATTTTTAAATAAACCCAATGTTACATTTAAGAAATTAATATTATTCTCAAAGTGATAACAGCAACTTGAAAGACTAGATACGAACCTTAGGGGCAGTGAGTTTATGTTAATGGGAGAAGAACAACTCACAAATGGAGGGTGAAAATGGTTGCACAACTCAAAAAATGTAATCAAAGTCACTGAATTGTACATGTAGAAATGGTTGAACTGATGTATGTTTTGCTGTGTATATTCTCTCAACAACAAAATTTAAAAAAAAAGTTATCTTCCCTAGGCTCACAGATATTTTTTAGTTCCTCAATCCTCATTTTCTTTTTCTCCAAGTCAAGAATCCAAGTGAAAAGGTTTTACAACTTAACAGGGAAGCCTTACTTGGTGAGCCTTCTTCATGTATGCCATTTGGGCCATTCCCATTAATATTTTGGTCCTTATAGCAGTGTAGGGATCCTTCAGTTTCTTCAGTTTCAGTAGATATTTTGACATATCGGCTTAAATAAAATCAGAAACCAAACAAAGTCAGGTCTAAAAAGGTAAAAACTAAAAAAAAAAAGTTTCTTATTCTTTCAATAAAACAGAGGTTGTTAACAGTGGTCATTTAGTAGATTCAAGGATAATTTCCAACTCAAGCTATAGCACCACAAGTGCAACTAATAATGTGTCTTAGTTGTCTTAAAAAAATAATTAAAAAAAAAGAAGTTACTTTGTTACTTCTAGGATTTTACGTCTTTCTTTTAAATGTTTAAATATTTGTGGCAAATAATTCCTCAACTTAAAAAAAAACTTGTATGATCATCATTTACATAATAAATATTATTAATAAGATCACTTATGGTTATATAATTTAATTGTTATGGTTGGGTTATTTAACTCTAATGATTAAAACAGGTATGTAAGAAATAATACTAAATATACCAACTACAAAGGATAAAAGAGAAGGATCAAAAGGCATTCTTTACCTTATAATGCAAATCAAGGCTTTAGGAAGGTAAAGAGGGGGCTACCTTATGATACTACAATCAGAATATTTTATTCTTTTAAATAAAACTATTTATTAGTATGAGTTTTTGGACTAGCTGTGTCTATAAATGAAATGAAGTCTATGATATTTGTTATGATTTTAGAGTGCATACATGCATTACAGTACTGACAACTTCCTATTTCTTTCCAACTGTAAATTTCTAGTATAAAACAGTTAAAAGATTTCATGTTTCCTAGGTTTGAAATTATCTAGTAATGTGTAATGCGTTTTACATGAGCAGGAAATTAGACTGCAAAATCTGATATTTAAAATCGTTACCTGTCTAAACAAAGCTGAGAAAATACAGACCTGTCTAATTATATTCTGACAGTACCTTGCATTTTTACTTCTATTACCTATTTTATATTTTATTTCCATATTTATTTTGTCAGTGTAGAATTGTCTGGCACTTACCACATTCTCAAAAGCAGGAGATTATAGAGTTTATCTTCGGTATTGTTTCGTGGTAGAGCCATAAGAAAAGGCTGACCAAAAAGTGAAGAACCAGTATGGTGGGTGTAACTTGAGTGTCTAAACTTTTCTCTTAGGCAAACAGGAATAATCACTTGCTCTGTATCTTCTGTCCTATTGATGTTTATTTCAAACCTACAAGGAGAAAACAAATCACAAACTCTCAAAATTTTATGTCATTTTGTTTGAATTTTTTCTCAAGTAATTATTTTACACAATGAATTTTATACTTACACATAAATATCATCTCGTTCCATAATACTACTAAGGTTTTCATCCATAGCGAATATTCTGTGAAATCTATGATTGTATATATCAGTAACTATCATCTAAAAGGAAATAAATTTCTATTAAGCTGGTTTTACGAAAGTTAAAAACAAAACACCAAGTTATATACTTTCACCACAAAAGCATCTTACCTTATCTGCAGGTACTCCTGACAAAGCCGATAATGCTGTACAAAGATCTGATATGTTTCCAATTTTGGGGACAACCACTTTGTACTAAAAAAAAAAAAGGTAATAAATTTATTAGTTTAGAAAAAATATTCAGTAGATGTAACCGACCTCATGTTTGCTTCCTTATATTCATTTGGCTCCTCATTTCTGTCACCAACCTTGCCATCATCCTGGTGACAACATCCATATGAATGATTTATCCTTACTGTTCCTTGACTCCTCAATTCAAGATCTATACTTTCATTCAACTATAGTCCACTTCCATCACCTGAAACTGTCCCACTTCTGAAATCTTAAACTCTAATAGGTTATTCTCTAACGACTACTTCATACTTAACCTGCAAACTCATTCCTATTTATTCTTGGGTTGCACTGAGATTTCTAGTCCTTTTAGCTCTCAGTTTTCTCCCAGTTTACCAGCTTCCTACAATCTTCATGCCCTTCCATCTAGAGCCCACATGCTTGTAAAATCTTTGTTACTAACAACTCCTTTGTTACTCAGTACTATTCATGTTGAACTTTCTCTGAGCTGTTCAGATATGCTAGAGAAAATTACTCAACTTCAGAGATTAGTGTGCTAAAAAATTCAGTGTTCAATCTCAAATGATCCCTCAACACTATCCAGAAATTCGACACTACCCAGAAATTATTTGTTTATTCTCTTATTTCTCTCAATAACTATTTGAAATCTTCACCATCCTTAGCCCTGTTATCATCTTATCACTTCTCCCTTCACTGATCACCAGAATATCTAAAGAGAGGCAACCAGGGTGGAAAATCTCCAACATCCTAATCCTCTACAAATTTACCTGAATCCGTTCAGGTCCTTTTCTCTGTCTCTTGCAACACATGGAAAGAGAACCAGAAGTCTCTCTTCCCATCCAAGACTAACTCTAGCACCAATGCTCTGAATTCTATCCTCTTCTGTTTCCTCTGGGCCCTAAGCCCAGCAATTATCCTTTCTTCCATTTTATCTCGACTCCTCATAAGTTTATATATCACTCATTAAAAACAAAGAAAAAAAAAAACAAACAAAATAGTTTCTCATTGCTTCCCCCCTAGTAATTCCTCTCTATCTCCGTCTCTCCTTTTTATAGGTAACTTTGTTAAAAGTAACATCTATACTGATTATCGTTAACTTCCTCACCTCCATTCACTTCTCAACTTCCAAGCCTCTGTCTTTACCTCTCTATTTAACCTGTTACACCAAGGTTACCAATAACTGTTATACTACTAAATCTTTATCGGTCCTTATCTTATAGACCTCTCTATAGCATGACACCTGACACTCCCTCCTTAAAAAATTCCCTTTCCCTACAATACTACTATTTTTAGTTTTTTTCTATTGCCAAAATTTCTCCTTGTTTTTTCCTCAGTTCAATTTTTTTCAATTTATTTTATAGAACAGTTGTTTAAAAATATTTTTAGATATATTATTAGCTACATGTGATAATGTATCTAGTTTGAGAACCTGATAAGTGCTATAATAGAATTTAGGGGACTAGAAGGGAGAAGAAGTAGGAGCTACATGCACTGGGGTGTGTCAAATGTCAAAAAAGGATTAACTGATCAATAAAAAAGGGATAACACATACTGATTTGTTCCACAAGTTGTAAAATAATCCAATAATAACACTAGGCAATGAAATCAGGCAGTTTACTAACATTAAGGCCTAGCACAGGGCTCTTGTATAAAATAAGCAATATTTGACACTCCAAAATGCTAAAGATGAGCACATTATTGAATCAAATACTTTCAGTTTAATTAAATTCTCATTTATTTTCTAATTTCTTAAAATGCCTAAAAATTACAGGCATTTAAATACACAATTATCATATCATGAATTAAAATGTATACTATGTATTAGTTTTACTTCTAACAGCCACTACAAAAAAAAAATAATAAAATTAACATAAAAAATCCAAGTTAGAAAATAAAGAAAACAATATATTATTTATCTTTGTAAGCTAATATTCACCTCAACATTGTAAACTCAAACTAACCCTCATTTTTCTTTGATGAGAATTTTGTTCTTCCATGACAAGTAATTATATTTTACACATCTCTCACCTTTTCAAGATTCTAAAAAGCTATACAATTTCCAAAGTATTTAGCTTATAAAATCTCTTACACAAACAAACTTATTATCTAATTGTGCCTGAAGCATAAGGAGTTCCCACTGTTTCTTATAGAAATAAGAAATATAAGGAAAATAATAATTATATTACTTACCTGCATAGGTTTGGTAAGTGGATCCATTCTAACTAAATAAACTTCCAAGGTACGTTCCTTTTTCATGGGCAATGGAAGTGTCAAGTAACAAAAAGGATCAAATGTTACTGAAATCTTAGCACACTCAGGACAAACTAAAGTTGATTTGAAAAGGCCATGAAATATATCTACTATAATAGAATCATTTCTTTTTAAATGGTTTTCCCAGGCTTCTTCAGCAACCACCTACAGGGAAAACAAACAAATATTACAAAGAGGTGTCACAGAATTTTAACAATGGTGACAAAAATATCATGAAATTTACCTTATCTGGCCTTCCATCAGCATCTTTCAATTGTATATATGGTTTTTTTCTAATTCTATTCAAATCTTCATGTAGTCCATCTAATAGGAAAGCTAATAATTCTTGACAGTCCTGCTGCTGATATCCAGAGAACTGAGGTGCAAAACGTCCTACCTGTGTCTGCAGGAAAGGCAAAACTATAAAATCAGCTCTAGGGACAAGATTAATACACACACACACACACACACACACACACACACACACACACACACGGAACATATATGAGTTATATAGTTATCTTTTGTTTAGCATTCCCAAGCACTCAGTGAAGTTTATCTGGGAGAAAACAGACTAACACACGGAATCCTTAAAAAATACATTAGTATAGTAATCATTGTTTGGTCTTAGATTTCTTTGTCATTAGTTTATGTTTTACTATTTGTGAAGAATTTTCCTGATCTTAGTTTCAGCTCTAGGTCTTTCTACAGAAGACAAAAAGAGACAGGTTCTCAACATGGCTACATTATCACATGTAGACAATTACATATCTAAAAATATTTTTTAAATAACTACTCTGTATAAAATAAATTGAAAAAAAAGTTGAACTGAGGAACAAAAAAGGAGAAAATCTGGTAAACTTTTGTACAAAGGATTGGGAAACAGTGAAGACTATTAAATTTAAATAACATTTTGCTTTGGGTCACTAGTAGGAAAAAATTACAAGGCTCTCATTTAGTTTCTGTGTGTAAAAAGAGAATGATTCTTAAAGAGATTACTTGAATATTCATGTTCACATATAATTTTCCTAGTCTTTAAATACTAAGCATTTTAAAAATAAGACTGAAAAGAAATGTAATCATTTGAATCACAGTTGAAAGGAAAAAGTCGGATGTCAAGAGGCTATTTACACATAATTTTAAGACAGGAAAGTCTAACAAAATTTAATAATTGGAATGATGGATAAGGGCTGAGAGGTGGTTTGTCTGGACTAGTTTGTCCAAAGTGTAGAAAGTAAAAGAATCTAAATGTAGGGTTTTTTTGTTTGTTGTTGTTCTTTTTTTTTAGTTTTTAAGACAGCTAGTGGACAGTTAATAAAATGTTGCCTAGTAGCTGTCCTACATGAAAGTCATTTAAGTTATTTGTATAATCAATGGCTTAAAATGGTTTACTCTCTTTAAAAGTTCATAACTTCCCATAAATTTTATTTATATAATTATTTTATTTGGAATTTTTTTTTAAGATAATATAATTCTAACCATCAGTTCAATTCTTACTTGAATGATAAGCTAAATTACTTGAGATTTTATTGATTCTAAGTAACCAATTCACAAATATGAATAAACTTAAAACAAAAGCTTTAAGAACCATACCAAAAATAAATTTAATTAATATTTAGCACTTGTTAACAATACACAAGCACCTGAAGATAAGCTAGATAACTGGGATCTTCTAAAAATTAAACACTTATGCTCATCAAAAGACTTCACCAAAAGAATAAAAAGAGAACTACAGACTGGGAAAAAATTTTTGGCTATGACAAATCTGACAAAGGTCTAATCTCTAAAATCTACAGGAAAATCCAACATCTCTACAACAAAAAGACAAATAATCCAATTAAAAAATGGGCAAAGGATATGAACAGACACTTCACCAAAGAAGACATTCAAGTGGCTAATAGATACATGAGGAAATGCTCGCGATCATCAGCCATTAGAGAAAAGCAAATCAAATATTTAGCACCTGTTCTGCAGATCAGTTTCATTTCAATAATTTCTCAAACTTACAATAACTTTCAAAATAAACTGAGAGTTCAACAATATGCCCAAATTTCATCCTTTATATTTGTATAAAATATTCAGGCAGGTTTTTCAGAGATACACTGTATTCTAAAACAATTCTGCAGATGCTCACTGCTGTCTCTCTATAGTCATTCCTGTACCATACCAGTTTTCTTCAACCCTTTTTTCATTACTGCCCCCTGACCCAGGGGCCTTTTTAGGGTTTTTTTTTTCCTAATCACCCATCTGTCCCATTAAATTTTAATACCACAGATAAACTGTATATCTGTTTGTGTACTGTGTCTCTCTGGAGGGCCACAAACCATTGTTACAGGTAAGATTCCCCTCCCTCTATCCCAAGAACCAATTTTCATCTCCCTGGGGGTGATATTTTTCCTGTTGAGAATGCATATACCATACTGACCTTAAAGGCTCTTGGTGTGACATAGCTAAATTTTCCAGACCACATTTGCTTGATCAGTTCAGCATATGATTTAGCTATTTCACCTCTCATTCCTAAGGGATTGTCAAAATTCAGTTCTTCTTGATACTTATCATTGAGGAAGTATTCAGTAAGTGGAGGTGTGTTGCTCAAACACTGCAAAGAATAAAATATATTTTTAAGTAAAGTAATCATATGTGCATGATCCTTAAAACACGTTATAATGAAAAGAAAAAAAATTGATTTGACTGATATTTATGTAGAGAAAATATTAAAGGATGGTCTCTTCGGCTAATAAATAACTGGCCAAATAAATACTCAAATGATGCACTCAACATATTTATTTCTTAAATTTCAAATGAATTACTTATTATAAATGTAAATGCTAATATTTGTTGCTGTAAAATCTGTGTTAATTTTAACCACAGCAAACTACCTGTTAACTGGGAGAGAAGCTCAGAGTTTCCTTTCCGTCTTTTACTTGATTGGTAGAAATTATGGATTGTCTACTCATCCCAGGCACCTGCAAATTAGCCTGAGTAGGTAAAAACTGAGATAGAGTGCAAGCAAGAAATTAACTTAAAAGAGGTATTTACTGCTTCCATTGTTAACTGCTTATCATGAAAGAGCAACCTTTAAACCTTCCATTTGGTCAACCGTTTTTAGAAGAGACAGTACAGATTAGCCGAGTCTGAGAAAAAAAACTTTAGTTATGTGAACTCTGGGTAAGTGTATTCTCACTTCTCCTAGCTTTTCTTTAGTATCACAATAATCTAATTTTCCCTTATAGCAAGATCAAAACTATGAATTAGTTAATTTTCCAATTCTTTTCCATTCTGAATTAAATAATTTTAGTTTTCAAAATAAAACAGCAACTAGATAGTAGACAAGAATTATCTTAGGTGAAGGGAAGGACAGCACACACTACAGGGGAAGTCAGCACAATGGACTAAACCAAAGCTAAGAAGTTTCCTGAATACAACCAAACACTTCGAAGGACAGAGTAGCAGGAGCAGGGGTCTGGGGACCACGCTTTCTGGGGACATCTAGGTCAACTGGCATAACAAAGTTTATTAAGAAAATCTTCTGCATCCTACTTTGGTGGCATCTGGGGTCTTAAAAGCTAGCAAGCAGCCATCTAAGATGCATCAATTGGTCCCAACCAC